ATATATAAGACTTCTCATATAATCTAACTAGTATTGTTCTGGTAATTGGACATACAACAATGAAGCAGAATACAAAACCTAGAAATCAACCTAACTGCAGATACAATATATTAAACAAACCAAAAAAATCATCTCAAATCAATGAGTTAACACAGAGTTTTTAATCAATGATTGTTGGAAGAACTGTACATCCATATGGCAAAAAACTTAAATCGGAACCATATTCATTATCATACCTCAGGAAATTTTCCAATGGATCAGAAATGTGTTGTTGTTTTAAAAGAAGCATTGGAGAGGGGAGACAAAAAATTTGCCAGTACAAGAAGAAAAGGTAAGTAAATGTCTACCAGCAGGGAGTAAGGAAACCTTTACTAAGAAAGCGATTAAACAAGCAGTAACAAGTGATCAATGAGAGCACATAAAAATTAAACACTTTGAATGGCATAAGGCACCAAAAGCCAAGTATAAAGACAAATAAAAATATTTGCAAAATCATATGTGCCACTCACATCAGTAACAAAGGGTTATCTTTCCATATAGAGAGCCTCTAAAATTAGGGGGGGGGGGGGAAACAAACCACTAAATGTATAAAAAAATAGGTTCAATAAAATAACACTTCTGAGAAAAAAGGAATGCAAATAACTCTGAACATATGAAAAGATGTTCATACTAAGAGAAATTTAAGTTCAAATTATATTTTTTTACTCAAACACTAGTAAAAACAAAAAAATCTGACAGCGTACTCTGGAGAAACAAGCCCACTGCAAAGTAGTATACACATAGTATACTTTGGAAGGGGATATGACCACATCTAGCAAGATTGCTATATTTATCCTTTGATACAACAGTGCAACTTGAATCAAATCTAACCCATATATATATTGATAAAATACAAAAATACTTTTTTATCAGGACTGTTTGTCACAGCAAATAACTGCAAACAACTCCACTATGCAAGAATACAAATTGGTGAAAGAAAAAAAAAAGTATACCCACATAACAGAATATATCCACATAACATTCATGAAAAGAGTAAGGAAAATTTTTATATACCCCAACCATAAGGTGATAAAAATCAAGGTGCAAGAAGGAGACTGTAATCCATTGCAGTGAAATGAACTACTATAGGATGAGTGTAAAACTGATGTTTTCCCATGTAAACTATCTCTCAATTCACAATAAAAAACGTTTTAAAAAAATCAAGGTGCAGGTGGCGCTTGACTGTCTTATGGATATGGTTTCCCTTGCCTATTACCATCGCTGTTGTTGTTAAGTACCGTGGAGTTGGTTCCGACTCATAGTAACCCTGCACAGGGTTTCCGAGGCTGTTAATCTTTACGGGAGCAGAAAGCCTCATCTTTCTCCTGCGGAACGGCTGGTAGTTTCAAACTGCCAACCTTGAGGTTAGCAGCCTGATTCGTAACCACTACGCTAGCAGAGCTCCTTAAAGATAGGGTTAGAGGTGGGTAAAACACTACTAGCAAGGTATATTAACCATGGAACGGGCAATCATTCAAAAACAAAAGGACAGTCTTTTCCTAAGGACAAAATTGAGAAGCGATGGCAAGGTGGGTGGAATGCAAATAGGAATCACAGGGAGGAAGCAGTCTAAACTGTTGTTGCATGGAGGGGATTATAATTGAGATGAAACAAGGAGCATGATTCATAGAATGTAAAGCTGATGATCTTGTTTGTAAACCTTCACTAAGTTCACAATAAAAAGTTTAAAAAAAAGAGTAAGAGACTTAATAAACACATCCACTAATATCAATGTGTGAAAATTATCTGGACCCTGATTTTTTTTAAATTCTAAGAAAAACCATTTATAACATTTGAGTTCATGGAAATTTTGACTATGATTAGACAGAGATATATAATATAAACAAATTATTGTCAACTTTTTAGGTAAACATAAATGGCCTTGTGATTATGGTTTTGCTTTTTGAAAAAACAAAACAAAACACAGAGAAAACCATATGAGTGAGAAAGCTATATCAAAATTCATATAAAAGTATGGGAGGCTTAGGACTTGCTTCAAATAATATGGGAGTGGGGTGAGTAGACAGAGCAAAATTAGCTGTGGGTTGACAGTTGTTGGGGCTCGGTGATATATTCTTGGGGGCTCTTTATATTCCTCTGTATACATTTTATATGTTCAGAATCCACAATCACTCAGATACATATAAAAAAAGAAATCTCTTAAAATGATTACATATTAAAAGAGGAGTAACATAATTAAGACATTTCTAATCAGACATTCTGTTCTTAAAGCAGATACAGAAACAACGTAAGATGCAGTTATTATAATCCCAAGATAAAGCTTAAAAATGATTTACAAATTTATTATTAATACTGTTGTTGTTGTTGAACAGTCTACCCTCACCATCTGCTGCTATAATGGAATCTACCAGAGTGTCTACTCTCTTTGTCTCTGGATGTGAATGGTCTACTGTTTGAGGCAATATCCGATGATAGGTTGGAAAACAAAGTCTTCTACATCACAGTATGTGAAGCAGACTTCTAGAGTCTCAAATGAAGCTAACAGATTTTTCAAATTACAAAAAAAAAAGACAAGATTAAAAACCAATAAAACCTCCATGTGTGCCTTTAAGATATTTCTATATTTCAATAAATGATCCAAAAACCAAAGCCACTTCCATCGAGTTGACTCCAACTCATAGCAACCCTCCAAAACAGAGCAGAACTGCCTCTAGGATTGCCAAGGGTATAGCTCTTTATGGAGGCAGACTGCCTTATCTTTCCTTCACAGAGTGGATGGTGGAATTCACAGCCAACATGTCTGTCGGTGAGCGCTTAACCACTGCACAACCACCAGGGCTCCTTCATTTCAGTAATGCTGACCATTAAATACTTGTTGTTGTTATTGTTAAGTGTCATCGAGTTAGTATAGGGTTCAAACAGCCAACCCTGTGGTTTAACAGGCTAGCGCTTTTCCAACAGCACCACACCAGGAGTCCATTAAATACTTTAGCGGTGGTGGTGGTTGTGGTTGTTGTGTGCTATGGAGTTGGTTCCAACTCATGGTGTCCCTGTATTGGGTTCTTGAAGCTGTAAATCTTTACTAGAGTAGAAAAATTTCATCTTTCTCCTATAGAAAGGCTGGTAGTTTCGAACTACTGACCTTGAGATTAGCAGCCCAACTGGTGACCACTACGCTACTAGGGCTCCTTTAGCATGCAATATTTGTTCTATGGTGTTAAAAGCAAAGTGAAAGCCAGAAGTAAACATGAATAATTTGTGAGAAGGCAAATAAAGTAATTCATAAGATTTGAAGTGAAATATGATGGCTCAAAATCGCCAAAAATGGAATACAGGAATAGTCCAAGAGGAAACCACTCATCGCCACTAAGTCATACACTTTAATGGCAATTGTTGAGTCCTCTTCTCTGCCTGTTAGATCCTAACACTTTTTTTAAAATGATCAAAATAGAAGTTCAAACCCCAGAGAGACTACATTAATTATGCTGGTTCCTTAGAGATTACATTAAAAGCTTCTTTCCCTTTATTTTGTTAAAGTTCACATTCTCTAATAATTCATCAATAATTGTGTTCTAAATGACTTTCTAGAATCTCTCTATGGCAGTGTAGTAGCAACTCGTTTCTGGCATTAATATCTGTTTGTCCTCAGCTTAAATTGATACCAATAAAATTAAAAGTTAAAGTCTCATAGGCTTTTAAGAGAACTTAATTTGCTTTCTGCAGTTGTCAAAGGAAAAATTGGGGTCTTAACAATTGCTTGTTTTACTAACATAATGCTTACACAATATAGCTTACAAACCCCTAAAGAAAATATCTATTAATTTATGACCCACATTGCCTAACTAGCTAAAGACACCTTTTCAGTCATTTAGGAAATGGGTTCTCTAAAACTATTTAGGGAGGTTCAGAGAAAAATGAACAATCTCATTAAGATAGAGCCTTTGGAGCTCAGTGGAATTCCAGATAACAGGAAGAAACTGGTAATTTGTTATAATAGCCCCAATTAAGAGCTAGAAAATAAAGATAAAATATGACTAGTATTCTATTTTCAGAAAACTAAAGATCATAAGCTTTTCCTTAAGAAAAGAAAAAATTTTTAAGTTTAAAAAGAAATATACTTTATGGCTTGACATGGTATTATGGTGATTTCCTTGAACCATTCTATTTTGACTGAAACATTAACAGGTAAGCGACAATCTTCCACTAACCCTATTACTTTTATTAAGTTATAGGGCTTTTCCAGGAAGTTAACAGGTTATAATTAAGGGCCAGAAATATTGAGAATACAGTTCTTCTGTCAGGACGGCCTCTTCTCTGTTGTGCCTGTGAGCTGGGTTTTCAAAGAGTACTCTAACTTTATTACTTAGCTTGAAGGCGCTCACCTCTAGCTGTATGGATAAGCAAATCCAGCTCCCCAATTAAGTACATGGAGGTATCCTACTCTGTAAGGGAGCCTCCGGCCCAAAGTCACTCAGCTCTATTTGTTCTGTGGGCTGCTAAGCCCTACCACACTGTCTGGTGCTCTGGCTCTTGGCTCTGCTGCTGTTACTCTCCTGTTACCCCTCTGGTGTCACAGCTTTCTGTCCATGGGTCAAAGTGGCTCAATGCACAGGATCTCAGGGTCCAAAAGACATGTTCCACTTACTCTTTATAAACACTAGTGAGATTTACTACCGCACCCCATTCTGAAATGGCTCATTTACAACCTAGTGGGATGGTACATTGACCAATCCCTTCATAATATTTGCAAGTTTTTATAATCACAATCCTGTTAAGAAGCATCTTCTCGCACTTTATCTTACCCCGACTGAAGCACATGTAGTTAAGCACTGGAATTGACTCAAACATTGTCAATGATCAGGAAGATGGTACAGGACCAGGCAACATTTTGTTCTGTTATTCACAAGGTCATCATGAGTCGGAACCCACGAGACAGAAACTAACAACAGCAAATGTTCGGGGAAAAACACAGGAGTAAATCCTTGTGACTTTGGGGTAGGCACCGACTGCTTAAATTACCTAACAAATTAAAAATCTGTCCTATGAACACACCATCAAGAAAGTAAAAAGATAGCCCATAGAATGGGAGAAAATATTTATAAATCATTTATCTAAAAAGGGACTTGTCTCCAGAATATATAAAGGAATTTTACTACTGGATATGCTTTCTAGAAGAGATTTATGTGCGGAAAAACTCGTACTGCTTTCTTCCTGAAGTCATGTCAGTGATCTGAGTGTATTTACACACAGTAAATTGCAAAAGCCAATACCATTACTTTCTTAATACAGGATTTCATTTCCTGACCGACAGAATGGTATGATAAAGTTAAACAATTACCTTAGACTTTTCTTCATTTTCTCTATAAAATTCTGCCATCTGTTCCTCTTGTTCTTCAATAACATCCTTGAGGGTATCCACCTGGTAGATCAGATTGTTCTTCTCATTATCTAACTGTGCATTGGAGACCATGGCTTTCTTGTACTTTTCTTCCACTTCAGACAGAGATTCCTACAGCAAAGTCAGAGTCATCAGTCTAATATCTGTAATATGTTCACTGATTACATATAATACACACAGAAAATTATAGCACTGGCACAAAAACATTAAGATGCATTTTTGCAAAACACAAGCAGCTTAGGGAACTCCTTGTTTAGTAACATGCACTAAAACAGGGAGACAATAATAAGCCAAAAATGCCTTTCTAAGAATGACATGTGCTCACTGTTCTTCAAGAAAAGAAAAAAATTATGGAGTAATGCAGCCTCTGAAAGATGAAAAGGTGTGCAGACAAAATATATATTTTTAAGGAGCATAGAATGTAAATCATCAGTATCTTCAGTTGCTGTTATAATTTTTACATACTTTTTGGTGTTTGGAATGTGACAATTACACAGAATGCAGCTTCTCTCTACAAAAGTAAACTTTACCTTTAATTGAGTTTTGCCACTGCCTTAATGTTTGTTTTCAGTGCTTTTGTGAACAATAAGGCTAACAAAATGTGTAAACATGTTTTGCTAACAATTACTTAAATTTATTTTTAAATAAGCAATACAAAAAGGGAACTATCACAAAACGCCTGAAATGTTATATTTCGAAGTTTTTGTGTTAAAACAGCTGACAAGTCTGGTTTTCTTTGTTTTTAACATATCAAATTTAATATATTACTACTGCCTAGTTGCTATTCCTTTTAAAAACTAAAATGAAAAATATCGTACATAGAAAAAAATCATCACTTTTCGATACAAGTTTTAAAACAATACTATGTAAGTATTTAACAAACTAAAATCAATAAAATATAGCTGAGCCAAAACCTTTACCTTAAAATGAATTGATTTTTTACAAGGTTACCCAAGCAACTCAAAGTGGAAAGAATAGTTTGTCAACAAATAGCATTTTCAGTAATTGGATATCCACATGCAAAAGAGGGAGTCCATATGGAGCCTTACCTCACGTCATACACAACAGTTAATTCAAAATGACCAGAGACTTAAATGTAACATGTAAAACTATAAAACTTTAAGAAGAAAACACAGGAATCAATCCTTTTGACTTTGGGGTAGACACTAGCTACTTAAATTAAACTATGTACATTAAAAACTTGTACTACAAACATACTATCAACAAAGAAAAAAGACAGCCCACAGAATGGGAGAAAATATTTATAAATCATTTATTTAATAAGAGACTTGTATCCAGAATATATATAGAAATTTTACTACTCAATAATATAATTAAAATTCAATTTAGATTTGGGCAAAGAATGTGAATAGACATTTCTATATGAAGATAAATCAGTAACTAATAAGCACATTTGATAAGATGCTCAACATCATTATTCATCAGAAATATTCCAAGGAAAGCCTTAATGAGCTCATTAAGTAAAATAACAACAACCAAACCTCCTGCCATCAAGTTAATTCTGACTCATAGCAAGCAAACATAGAGAAGTATTTCCTACACTGTAAATCTTTATTGGAGCAGCTGGTGGATTTGAACTGGCAACCATTCAGTTAGTATCTCAATGCCTAAAATGCCACAAAGGATCCTTTCACAACTATTGTTAACTTCCATCGAGTCGGTTCCGACCCATAGCAACCCTGAACAGGGTTTCCAAGGCTGTAAATCTTTACGGAAGCAGAAAGCCTCATCTTTCTCCCGTGGAGCGGCTGGTAGTTTCAAACTGCTGACCTTGTAGTTTGCAGCCTGATTTGTAACCATTACGTTACCAAAGCTCCTTTTCACAACTATTAGCAAAGATAAATGTATATTTTTTAAAAATTGAGAATAACAAATGTTGGTAAATGCTGCAATCCTCATACAGTGGTATAACTACTTTGGAAAACAGTTTGGCAGTTCCTCAAAATGTTAAACACAATATTTGCCATAGCAGCCTAGCATTCTACTCCTAAATATCTACCCAAGAAAAATGAAAACATATGTCCCCATAAAAACTTGAGCACAATAGTTCATAGCAGCATTACTCAAAATAGCCAAAAATGGATATAACCCAAATGTCTACCAACTGACAAATGGATAAACAAAATAGGGTATTATCCATGTTGTGAAATACTACCCGGTCATGTTGTTATTGTTGTTGTTAAGTGCCGTCGAGTCAGTTCCGACCCATAGCGACTCTGTATAGGGTTTCCAAGGAGCAACTGAAACCTGCTATAAAGTGGCTAAAACTTAAAACATTATGCTAAATGAAAGACCCTTAAAAGGACACATATTTTATGATTTCATTTATATAAAATGTCCACAATACAAAAACCCACAGAAAGTAAATCAGTGGTTGCTCAGTGCCAAGGGTGAGAGCTGAGAAGGAGGAATGAAGAATGGCTACTAATGGATCCAGGTTTCTTTTTGGGATGATGAAACTGTTCTCAAATTAGACTATAATGATGGTGCACAAGTCAGTGACTATGTTAAAGCCACTGAGGATGGTATGTACTCTTTAAATGGGTGAAGTGAATTGTATGGTATGTGGATTATATCTCAATAAAACTACTAAAAATACACAAATAAATATACCTGTAAAATTACTTAACAAATCAGAATTGCATTAGCAAACAACACTTACACTAGGATTGGCCCCAATTATGGCCAAAATAAAGAACATAAGCAAGGTCAAGTGTATAACGGTCTAAATATGGCAGTATCTTTTTCACTTTTTTTTTTAACTTTCTACTATGAATTGGGTGAAGATTTACAGAGTAAATCAGCTTTCCATTCAACAATTCATACATATTTTATTTCATGTTATTGACTGTAATCCCCACAATGTAACACTAATCCCACTTTTAACCTGTTTCCTATTTCCACTCTACCTTCTTTCCTAATCCTTGCTGTTTTCTGAACTTTGTCCTGGGCAAATGCTGATCTTTTGATCCCAGATGCTCACTTCCCTAGTGTTGCTGCTCACCTTATACTGCTGTTGCTAAGTGTCATGGAGTCTATTCCAACTCATAGTAACTCTAGTCAAGGTTTCTGATGAGCAACTGATGGGTTTGAACCACCAATCTTGTGGTTAAGAATCCAGTGATTATCCTACAGCACCACACCACACATTATACACCTGCTTATTGTTTGGCTGACAATTGAGTGACAGGGATGAGTCCAGTTCCAGGCCTGAAGGTAACTAAGAGCCATAGTCTTGGGGGTTCTACTAGTTAAAAATAGAAGTATCATAATATAATAGAGAATTCAGAATTGTTCTGATTCATCAGAGGGCTAATAGCATTTTAACAAGTCCTTACCTATCTAGATCAATTGGAGTAAAAAATGTCATAAAGACAAGATTCTACATTCTATTTTGGTGAGTAACCAACTAGGGTCTTCAAAGCTTCAAAGGCATGTAAATTACAACTACTGGTTCTTTCCATTTAGAGGAAAGAGTGAAAAAAAAACAAAGACTAAAGAAAATGATTAGTCCAAAGGAATAATGAATCCATGAACTATATAGCCTCTACTAACCTGAAAACAGAAGGACTAGATACTGTTCAGCTACAACCACTGACCACCCTTGACTAGGATAACAATAAAAGGTACAAGATAGAATATGGAAAAATGGTAGAACAATTCAATTTCAAAAAAACCAGACTTACTGGTGGATTTGAACCACCAACTGTGAGGTTACCAGTCCACTGCTTATCCTATAACACCACTGACAAGCCTATACAGGGTCCCTATGTGTTGGAACTGACTCAGTGGCACTTAACAAAAACATGCAAGGATACAACAAACAATGCAATGAATTGTCATTAAAACTTATGGAATATAATCTTATAAATAACAGACCACAAATGACTGTTTTAAATTAAGTGTTAAGGTTGTTTCAATGGATTTAAAGCACTGGATTGCAATGTCGGTTTGAACCACAAAATTCGCAGTAAACACTAACCAGCCGCTCCTTGGAAACCTTATACAGGGTCATTATGAGTCAAAACCAACTTGACAGCACTTAACAACAACAACATTATATATGTCATAATGAAGGAGCTTCAAAAACGTTTGTGAAAAAATGAAATTAAGGGATAATGTAATTTTCCCACAAATGTTTTGAAACACCCAATGAAGTATGTCAAGTATGCTTTAAAAGTTCAGAAGAATGGCAGGTGATCAAGTCAGGCTGAGACCCACATAGAAAAAGGGAATCCTAAATAAGTTCTTCTGTGACAAAATCTACCAAATCTGGGACTGATTTGGTTAACTGAATATTAGCAGTTCACAGGTGGGTGCTAAAGAAGGGTAGGGCCCTATAACCTGACTAACCAAGTACAGACAGCCTGGTACTAATTGTCTGAGAAGGTATGTTGAAGAGTACAGTTTCAGTTTCTGAAATTCTGAACACGAATTTCTGGATCCTATAATACCTTCTTTAGACAGCATAAGAGACGACTATACACATGGACATCACCAGATGGAATACAAAGAAATCCAATTGACTACATCTGCAGAAAGAGATGATGGAAAAGCTCCATATCATCAGTGAAAACAAGGCCAGGAGCAGACTGTGGAACAGACCATCAATAGCTCATATGCAAATTCAAACTGAAGCTGAAGAAAATGAAAACAAGTCTACGAGAGCTAAAATATGACCTTGAATATAACCCACCTAAATTTAAAGATCATCTGAAGAACAGATTTGATACATCAAATACTAAAGACTGAAGACCAGAAGAGTTGTGGGATAACATCAATAACATCATACATGAAGAAAGCAAAAAGTCATTAAGGAGACAAGAAAGAAGGAAAAGGTCAAAATGGATGTCAGAAGAGACACTGAAACTTTCTCTCCAGTGTAGAGATGCTAAAGCAAATGGAACAAATGAG